ACTAAATATTAGCATCAGAAAACACAACCAGAACACGGAAAATTGAACTTTTCGGAAGTCCGTTAACAACAAATTCTTCAGCCCGACCGGTAAGGGGCGAAACCGGCATCTCGTGAGGGGTTGCACAGGAGGACTCCGGTCGGATGGACCCAGGCACGGAATCCAGACGCGCGAATCCAGACCCACGGGTTCCAAACGCAGGATTGGACCTAGTGAGCGACCGAGCAACCCACCGGGTGAGCGACTGCTGAGGAGACAGTGGGGAGGCGGTGCTGCGTGTTGACTGCGGTTGCCTATCCGCGGGCGAGTGGACAGGCGAGGGAGTGGGCGGTTGGACCGGGCCCGGCGGTCCCCGTGGCATGCAGCAGTAGAGGGCGCCGCCATTTCCCCGCTCTGACCACGCCCCCACATACAGCGTCACAACCTAGCGACCTGGGAGTCCAAGGCGCCGCTTCTCACATTTAAAGGGCCAGAACAGACCAAAAATGTCGCAGGAAGACCTCAAAGCCCCAGAGATAAATCTAAGCGACGAAGAAATAGCAAAACTCTCAGACGCACAGTTTAAAACACTGGTCATCAGGATCCTCACAGAACTGGTTGATTATACCGACAAATTAGACAAACATATGAAGGCGAAACTAATTGAAATGAATGGAATTCCACAGGAAACCCATAGAGATGAAAAGGAAACTGGGACTCAAATCAATGGAGTGGACCAGAAGAAAGCAAATAATGGCCAAACAGAAAAGAGTCAAGGAGCAAGAATTCAAAGAAATGAGGAGAGTCTTAGGAACCTCCAGGACATCTTTAAACGCTCCAATATCCGAATTAGAGGGGTACCAGAAGGGGGAAAGACACAACCACCAGTGGAAAAATTATTTGAACAAATAATAAAAGAAAATTTCCCCAATCTGGCAAAGGAAATAGACTTCCAAGAAATCCAAGAAGCTCAGAGAGTACCAAAAAAGTTGGACTCAAGAAGAAACACACCAAGGCATATCATAATTACATTAGCCAAGATTAAAATGAAGGAGAGAATCCTAGAAGCAGCAAGAGCTAAGGGGACAATCACCTACAAAGGAGTCCCCATCAGACTGTCAGCAGATTTCTCAAAAGAGATCTTACAGGCAAGAAGGGGCTGGAAAGAAATATTCCAAGTCATGAAATCTAAAGACCTACAACCAAGATTGCTCTATCCAGCAAAACTTTCATTTAGAATGGAAGGACAGATAAAGTGCTTCTCAGATAAGATCAAATTCAAGGAGTTCATCATCACCAAGCCCTTATTATATGAAATGTTAAAGGGACTTATCTAAGAAAAAGAAGTTAAAGAAACATGAACAGTGAAAGAACAACAAGCTCACAGTTATTAACAACCACACCTAAAACGAAAGCAAACTAAAAGGACAGCTAGATCAGGAGTGGAAACATAGAAATGAAGATCTCAAGGAGGGTTAGCAACAGGGGAGTGGGAGGAGGAGATGGGCGGAGAAGGTACAGAAAATAAGTAGCATAGACAGTAGATAGAAAATAGATGGGGGGGCAAGAATAGCATGGGAAATATAGAACCTAAAGGACTTGAGACACATGGACATAAACTAAAGGGGGGTAATGGTGGGGATGGGGGGCAGGGTGGAGGGGAATGAAGGGGGGAATAGAACAACTGTAACAGCATAATCAATTTTAAAAAATAAATTAAAAAAAAATTTATTTGCTGACAATTTCAGGAAGAATATAAGCAGGGTGAGCTTGTAAAATTTAAATAGTGATGAAAGGCAGGACATAGACGTGGTTACGTTATCATTCTAACCTCTGTAGGTGGTGAGTACTAGCATCCCTTACATGGAACAGTGTCCCTTTAAGAATTCCATTTCATGCTTTAGACATTTCATTCCTTTTATTTCCCAGATCTTCAAAAAAAGGTCCTGTTTGAGAATCGTTCACATCTTGTGAGAATAAACTTTGAAGCAAAATGTCAGTTTTGGCCCTGGCTGTTGTAGCTCAGTGGACTGAGCGCAGGCCTGCGAACTGGACAATCACGGTTCGATTCCCAGTCAGGGCACATACCTGGGTTGCAGGCCGATTCCCTGCAGGCCAATTCCCAGCAGGGGATGCACTAAGGCAACCATACATTGATGTTTCTCTCCCTCTTTCCTTCCCCTCTAAAGATAAATAAATAAAATCTTTAAAAAAAAATGTCAGTTTTGCCCTGTCCAGCTTTCACAAAGAGGAAGAAGTTTGAAGTTGGTTCAGGATCCATGGTGAATGGTTCCCGAGGCAGGCGTGGCGAAGTCGATGAAGACCACCGGGAAAGGGGACAGTGTCACGGACACACCAGGCGCCCCGCCCACATTCTGTTCTCAGCATTCAGACTGCAGAACGACAGACTCACAGGAACGCCTCACGGATTAAGATGCTTACAGATTAAGCACTGAGGCTTCGAGGCCCAGTGTGAGGAAAACACTTGCAGAGGGGGCTGCTGCTGACCACCCGCCACTTAGAGAAGTTAGAGAGGAAGGTTCTGGGGGTCCGCCTGGGCCCTTAGTCCTGAGCACAGAGGTCCTTCTAGATGTGCATTGCCCCAGCTCCGATCCAAAAGATCTTCCACCGTGTCCTGTGGAGAGATTGGGGACCTGTCCAGTGAGCTGGCAGAACAGGGGTGCTTACCAGCACCCCAGCAGTGGTGCTGCCCGCACTGACGAATCGGCACAATTGTCCAGACGAATGTCTACACTTAGAGTTGCGAGACTTAACATTCATAGTTAGAAACTTGCAGTGATGTTCCATTTCTGGTGGGTGATGTTTCCGATTTATTAGTGGCCCCAAGCAGTTTGGTTCGGGGCAGTGATGGCTGACACAGGCCTGCAGGGGCTGGGCTTCGGGCACAGGCTGGCATGTGCCATCTGCTAGCCACATGCCCAGAGGAGACCTCAAAGGGAGGGCCAGAGGCAGCGAACGGCACGCCCTTGGTGACACAGCCAGGTAGAGGCCACGGGGAGGCTGGAGCTGTGATGCGGGCTCTGGGCCATGCACGGGCTTTGCGGAGTGGGGGCAGCGCCTCAGGGACCCACACCACCCGGCGGCTCAGCCTCCCGGGCCAGCCGCGGGCCCAGGGAAGAGGACCTGGGCTCCTCCCTAGGACTCGTAGATTCTGTCTCTCACCAGCCTTCTTTGGGCTCGGCCTTCCTGTTGTGAGCTCACTGTCTGGGAATCCACCTAAATCTCCTCATTTTATCTTCCACCCGAACTCCCCGCCACACGCCTGCCCACGTGGCAGGAGACCCCAGGTTGGCCCTCCTACGTAGAATGGCTGTGCCTCTGGCTTGGGTCCCATTGTTCAAACACACGGTCCTTGTCCCCTTCACACCCAGGTCCCCGCCCTGGTGGTCCCTGTCTGACCCCAGGTCCTTCTAGTCCCACTGCCCTCTCAGCTACCCTCTGACCCCGATCTGACCGAAAAAGCACTTGCAGTTCATCACAAAGAGAGTGGCTGAGACAGAGAGTCAACAGGACACGTGAGAGGGGAGCAAGGGTGGGTTAGAGACTCGTCTGCCCAGCGGGCGCCAGGTCCCACTGGGTCCCACCTCACGGAGTTCATTAGGATAGCCAGGGAGTCACTCCCCTCAAGGCCGGCTGGGGACAATTTTGGGGACAGAGGGCCTTGGCTTAGAGACTTATGTAATCAACCATGTGGATGAAATGAGGAAGCACGGCTGGGGCCCAGGCTGAGGGAGTGCTGTGCAGGCATTGAAAAATGGGGCCTTTCAGATGGCACCTGAGATGCCACCAGTGCCTTCAGTGGTGACAACTGCATCATACAGAGTGAATGCCTATAACCCTCCTCTGCCCCAAGTGCTTTATCCCAGTCTATACGCCAGAGAACTGAGGCACAGAGAGGTTAAGTAACTTGCCCAAGGTCACACAGCAGCAAGTGGCAGAGCTAAGATTTGGACTCAGGCCAGCTCCAGCTATGCAGTCCCCCATTCACTGCAGGACATCGCTTCCCTTGATGCCACTTTCCAAATTTATCTCTACAGTTGATGGTCACAGCCAGACCCAGGACCCAGACCCAGGACCTCCCACAAAACTCCTTCATCACCATTTAATTTTCAGATATTTCATTGCTTCATATTTTAATATGCTCATAAAAGCTAATATTTTAAAGTTTGTAGTTATGACAGTGTTTATAAGAAGGTTTTGCTTCGATAACTTCTTGTGTTGCATTTTCCATTGACCACTTCCCTGCAGCCTGGCCAGGGGTCAGCTCCTGTCACTCAGGGAGACTCCAGCAGGAGGTTGGTCTGTCCCACCACGAAGAGGTATGACCCGGCTTGGGGGGCAGGCTGAGAGGTGGGGTGGGGTCAGGGGGGTGTGGGGAGACTGGGACAGAAGGGACAGGGAGAGGCTGGGGGTGTTGGGTGGGCAGGTGTGCTCTGGGGACTCAAGGACCTTGGGGTTTGACCTCTTGGCAAGGCCTGAGCCCGGACTCCCAGGCTGGCTGGCTCCGCCACCTACCTACCGGCTGGCAGACCTGGGACAAACTGTGTGACCTTTCTGCGCCTCAGTTCCCTCACTCACAAACCGGCAGGACAAAGACTGTGGACATCAGATGAGCCGATCCTGCTGAATCCGCTGGGCAGCCCCTGCCAGCACTCAGCGCTCAGTCATTCTTCGCTACCTTTACGGGGAAGTCAGTCCGTCCCTCACCTGGGCCTTCCCTCTCCTCAGGGAGCAAACACAGGACATCCGGTTGAATTTGAATTTCAGAAGACAACAAATCATTTTCTTTAGCATGAGTATGCCCTTTCTACGCCCCCCTTTGCCTCCTCCCCCCACTCCCTCCCGGCTTGTCCCAGCAGCTCCCCCGCCTCTCACCCTGTTCGGGGCAGCGCCTCTGTTCTCCTTTCCCCTCTCCCCCAAACTCAGCCTTCTCAGTGCAACTGAGGTTTCAGGTCACGCCCTTCCCCAACCACTCTGACACAGCCACATAAGTTTAGGGCTTGGTTTTAGAATTAAAAACATTTTATTGCAATTTTTTCCTAGGTAACAATGTCTGAACATTTTGGAATTAACGTCTAGGACTTCTTTCTGATACAGTAGGTTTCCCTCATTCACTCGTAACATAGGTTTCTACTTTAGAATGTACAAAAAGCACTGGTATTAATTTCACTCTTGGTGAATATTCAAGTCGTGTATAATCTTCCTCACCCACAAACATTGTTGAGATGAACAGGGATTTGTGAACAAAAAGTAACAAGAACGCTTGCTCTACCACATGTTAAAACTTATAAAGCTAGAAAGACCCATCAAAGTGGCAGGTGCCATTCAGAGAACAATAAAGTCCAAAGCCTAGAAATGGACTGAGCACATTCAGGGACTTTCTGTGTCGTAAAACTGGCATTTCATACACATGGACGAGGAACAGGAGATCCAACCAGTAATGCAAAGACCCCCGGGCCACTCGCTAGAAGGCAGCAGAGGCTAGCTCTCAGCTCCTGTGTGTGCATTCCAAAAGCATGACCATTTTACATGAAAAGGCTGAAACCCAGAAAGAACTAGAAAAAATAAATTAGGACGAGTGCACTTTGGAAGCGGGAAGGCCTTTGTGGGGCCCTGCTGGTGTTCCCCGGGAGGCCGAACAGGAAACTCTGCTTTGTGGGCGCCCACAAGCCCCACGTACACATTCAGAGGCAAATCCTATGCCGGGGAAACACAACAAGCACCGTGTGTGGAAGACCATACGTAACAGCTTTAAAATCTTCATCAGAAGAAGACGAGCACCTGACAGAACCAAGTCCTCCCTGAGCATAGCCCAGTAAAACAAAACAAAACAAACAAACAAGCAAACAAAACAAGGCCCATGAGATAAAAAAGTATGTGCAAACTTGAAAGTTATTAGATAATGAAAATTAAAATAATTTAATGCCATAATTTTTGCCTAGCAGGAAGGCAAAGATTTAAAAGAACTGTGATCCCTTCATAGGCCTAGACGTAGGCCACAAGCCCCTTGAACTTGGCTGTGGGCATTGCAGGCCTTTCTGCAAAAAGGACGGAGCAGTTCTTCTAACTTGCCCACAGCAGACGTGGGTTCCGAGCGCCCCTCTCCTCCTGACTTTTCTGGTCCCGCCAGCCTGGGTGCAGGAAGTCCGCCAGGAAGCAGGTCGGTGGTCACCCCCGGCGCAGGCCCTATGGCCCCAACCCTCCCTGCCACTTAGCTGAGACCTGCCCAGCTTCCCACAACCTCAGAATGGTTCTTCCTAACCACACCCTCTTACCACACCCATTTCTTGGAGTCACATAACGGTGCTTGGCCACCACATCTGGGGCCACAGTGCCTGACGAAGGCAGGTGGAAGGCAGGTGCAGTCCTGCGCTGCTCAGCCAAGCCCCGGACCCCCGGGGCCCCACTGCCCCTGTGCCCCCGCCCCCTGCCCCTGGCCTGGATCTGGCATTTGCACCTGCTGCAAACAGGCTGCGGACACAGGGCCTCCTACACGGCCTGTCACGCCCGCCTCAGAATAGGCCCTGACTGAGCCGTGACCTCTCAGAACATGCTTCGCTTGGACCTCACTCTAATACTAAAGCAGGGAAAAGAGAAAGAAGAAATGAGCAAAAGCCTGGTAATAAAGAAAATGAGGGCACACGAAATGAGTGTGTATGGAATGTTCTAATAATTCAGAACCTAAAAATAGGCGAACTTGAAAGAAAACTGTGTGTGTGTGTCTGTGTGTGTGTCAGTGGGACAGGGGAGGGGTGCAGGGGGAGAGAGAAGCTTGACCTTGCTAAAGGCCAAGGGAGAAGTTAGGTGGTTCACTCATTTTTCTGGTCTCCTTTCTGTGGCGTTGTAGAAATGAGGGTGGAAAAAACCCGAGGCTGGTGAGAGGAAGGCAGGCGGGAGGGAAGGCAGACGCCCCTTCCACGCGTGCCCCCCCGGGGGCTGCAGGGGTCAGCACACCTCCCCAGGCCTGCTGACGTCCCAGGGCGGCAGCGACAGGTAGTCCTGCTGCTTCAGGGCTTTGAAGAGCTGAATGGCAGGCACCTGGGGAATGGACTGACGCGGAGACTTCTTGACCTGGAACACCTGGTCCAGGTCCCTGATCTCAGGACAGGGTTCCGGAGAAGGGGACTTACTTTGGGGTGAGAGCGCACCGGACCCGACACCAGGGAGGAAGCAGTAATCGCCCACCTGCTGCAGGACCAGGAGGCCCTCGGGGTGTGGGGAGACTGGGGTCACCTCTACCCGGGGCTCCTTGGGGCTCGGGATGGGGCTGCTGGCTATGGGAGGGGCAGGACTGCCCAGAGGGGGCTTAGGGGGCTGGCCCATGGCCGAAGGGAGCTCCACATAGCTGTCAAATACTGACGTCATGGGGGCCAAGGCCTCAGGTGGCTGGCCGGCCAGTACAGGAGGGAGGCTGTGGTTCTGGTCTGAGGGGAGGCTGAGAGGGGGCACCCAGGGGGCTGTTGGTGCCCCTGTGGATGGGGTGAGTGCCAGGTCTGCAGTGCTGACGTAATCAGAGACCATGGTGTCACCCTCAGGGCCCTGAGCCCCACTAGACAGAGCTGTGGGGCCACCCTTCATGCCCTGACCCCACAACGTGAGCGTGAGTGCAGGTGCGGGGGGCGCAGTGTCTGTCCCTGCCTCCAGGGAGGGGCTCGCCTCCTTGGCCCCGGGGCAGGGCCTTCTCTCTGCTCCCCCGGCCTGGCCCCGTCCCAGCACCTGGGCCAGCGGGACCAGCTGCACCTGCTCCCCTTCAGGCAGGCACATGTACTCCAGGGACCCTGAGGACGGCGGCTCGTGGCTCACGCCCGTCTGTGGGAGCACCTCCGGGCCCACGAGCTCCGGCAGGGACAGGCTGTGGGGTGGGCCCAGGTAGGGGCCGTTGAAGTCAAAGCCAGAAACCTTCCTCTCAAGCCTGCTTGAGGCGGCTGGCAGGCAGGGCTGGAGGCTTGGGGGCAGCTCCGCGGGCAGGTCTGAAGTGGCTGGGGTGGTTTTAGGCTCAGACGGTGAGTCGCTGGCAAGGTTAGGGTCCTCTATAGTAAGATGTGACACCTTGCTGTGCACGCCGTCCACAGGGGACACCCTGTGGGAGGGACAGGTATGGAGATGTTGGGCCCGCCCTGGGCAGAACTGAGGTTCATGCAGGTGGGGCTGTGGGGGCCGGGGCACCGGGAGGTTTGGGATCATCAGGGTTCACAGAGAACCCAGAGCAGGGCTGGGGCTGTGGGGCATCGGGGGCGGAACTCAGGGCAGGAAACCAGACGTTCCTTCCGTCCCCCTGTGAGTCCGGCCCTGCAGCCTCCGTGCTCTTGATCCACGGCTTCCTCTCTCAGGTGCGCCGCTGTCCCCACTGCTCCCTGATGTGCTCCCTCCGGGGCCCAGTCCTTCCCACGCTCCTCCTCCCTGGTGTACAGCGCCCTCTCCTGAGGGTTAGTGGAGAGCTGGTGGCGCAGGCGCTGACCAGAAGGATTCGTGGCTCCTTGGCCACCCCACGAGGCCGAGCCGTGTGGGGAGCAGGGCACGGAGAGCTTATCAGTCAGACCTGAGCTGCGGCTGCTGTGAGCCTAGGCATCAGGAAGTTCTTCCAGCCACCCAGTGGGGAGGCCCCTTGTTTCACACTGAGCTGCAGGCCAGAGGGAAACCCTTCTGAGCCTCCGAGGTGCACGCTGGGGCCACCCTCCTACCTCCCGGGGATCCCAGGCCCAGACACTCACCTGTCCAGCCCAGGGAAGGGGCTGTCCCACGGCCCCCCGTGTGAGGCGCTCCTGCAGGTGAGGATGCTGTCTGGGAGCCGGAGCCCCGCACTCCCGTTCTGGAAGAGAAGGACGTTTGTACCTCTGGGGGTGGGACCTCAAGATGGTGAAGGTGGGGGATGGCTGTGGGGTGACGAGGGATTCGGGGAGCCCTCAGACACGGGAGAAATCTCAGCATGGTCAGGACCAGATGTGGCTTTCTGACACCGGAAGGAGAGGCCACAGATGGGCCGGGACCTCGCTGGGGCCCTCCACTCCAGCACTGAAGGGCAGGGTCCCTATTCAGGTGAGGCTCATCTGGGGGGTTGCTGCCTCTGGGCTCGCACCCTAGACTGCCCACACTGGCCTCGCAGAGACCCCCCTACGGAGAGCTGGCCCTGCCTGGCCGAGGGGCTCCTCCGCTCTGTGGTCCTCTCAGCCTCCTGCGATGGGTCTCCAGCCCCAACATCCCCCCATCTCCATCCCTCATGACGTGGCCCCGCGTGCCTTCTGCCTACAGTGACCTTCCCACCAGGCACCACTCAGATCGCTCAAGGCTCAGCTCTGCTGTCCTGTCCTTGGGGAGCCATTCTGCCTCCCACCCACCCTCAGTAAACCTAGCCCCTTCCTGGGCCCACCTTTGCCCTTCCAGCATCCCCACCCTCAGCTCTCTCCTGCTGCACGTGGGCCCCTGAAGGCAGGGCACCTGTGTATCTGGGGGGCCCAGGGGTCTTTAGGGATGAACTTGCAGGTGCTGGCCTTGCTCCTAGAGCTTTCCAGCCCCCTCCCGGGGCCACCTATGCCCCACTTTCAAAGCCCCCCCGGGAAGGGAAGGAGGAGTGGCATGGGTACATGGGCACTGGCGCAGGAGCCCTCCCCACCCCAGCTGTCCTCACGGCAGATCCTACCTGGAACAGGTGGCTCTTACTGGGGTTGGGGATTTTCTCCTCCCACTTCCGGTTCAGCCTGGAAAGACAGCAGGGAGGTGAGAGCCACCGGAGCCCTCAGGGCAGCTGCCTATGCTCACATTCAGAGGGGAAACTGAGGCCCAAGGAGAGGACAAGATCTGCCCGAGATCCCCCAGGGAGTGGGGGGCAGAGCAGAGACTGGAGTGATCAGCTGTGGAATCCCTGTGGCCCCTGGGGTCTTGGGTGTGCCTACCCCCACCTGTCATGGGGGCCCCTTACCTGTACCAATATAGGCCACAGAAGCGCAGGACCGGGAGTAAGGTGAGGGTGGTGAAGACCAGGATGAAGGCCAGGCCCCACGTGGGCAGCACTACCAGGTAGCCAGGAAAGAAAGAGGAGCATTAACACCTGCGGACAGAAAGGCTGGGGCTCTGGGGCGGGTGGGGCCAGGTCAATGCCGGTGGAGTATGGGGTGGAGAAGGGGGGGCAGACACAGGCTAAGAAGGGGGCACTGTTCTGCACCCACCCCCACCCCGCCACCAATATTTCAGTGCTAAAGAGGACACAAGAGGGTAGATCTTTTCCAGTAGCAGGAGGTGCCTGGGGTGGGGGCAGGGGTGACTGTAGCCCATGGAAACCATGGGGCCAGCCCGAAGAGGGTCCTATGTAGGCGCACCCTGGAGATACTGCACGTGTGGTTTCAGATTACGACAATAAAGCAAATTCTGCAATAAAGTAAGTCGCACAAATGATTTGGTCCCCTAAGGGCATAAACATGTTGTGTTTGCACTATCCTATACTCTATTGTGTGTGCAATAGTGTTACGTCTTAAAAACAATGTAGAAAAATAAAATGCCTAGGAATAAATTTAACCAAGGAGGTAAAAGTTCTGTGCCTGAAAGACATCGAAGAAAGAAGTAGAAGAAGATACAGATGAGGGGGAGCAGACACCATGTCCAAGGAGAGGAAGAGTTGACATTGGTAAAAAGTCCTCACTACTCCAAAAAGTCAATAAAGCCAACTCAGTTCTTATTCAAATACCAATGATATTTTCACAGAACCACAGTGATCAGCCACAGTGAATAGCCACAATGATCTTGAGAAAAAAGGAGCAAAGTCGGAGGTATCTCCCTACCTGATATCAAATGATACTACAAAACTACAGGAATCAAAACAGCATGGTACTGGCATAAAAAAAGGACACATAGATCAATGAAACTGAAGAGAGAGCCCAGAAATAAACCCATGCCTACATGCTCAATTAATATTTGACAAAGGAAGCAAGAACATACGACGTGGTAAAGACTCTATTCAGAAAATGGTGTTGAAAAAATTGGATGGATACATACAAAAAAAAAAAAAGAAACTAGACCACCTTCTTACACCCTAGACAAGAATAAACTCTAAATGGATTAAAGACTTAAATGTCAGACCTGAAACTATAAAACTCCTAGAAGAAAACATAGGCAGTAAAATCTCTAACATTTCTCTTAGCAATATTTTTTCTGATATGTTTCCTTGGCTAAAGAAAAAAAAAAGAGCCAGCATCAAATGAAAAAGATTTTGCACAGCAAACCACCAACAAAGTGAAAAAAGGCTACTGAATGGAAGAAGGTACTCCCCAATGATACAACCTATAAATCTTTATATCTTCATATTCATATTCCTACTTTATAAATATTCATATTTTCACACAGCATACTCATATTTTATAAAGAACACAGACAACTCAACACAATAATAAAAATACACCAATCCAATTAAAAAGTGGACGAGGCCCTGACCAGTGCGGGTCAGTTGGCTGGGCGTTGTCCCACGCAGTGAAAGGTCACTGGTTCCGTTCCCGGTCAGGGCATGCAGTGGGTTTGGTCCGCCAGTGGGTTTGGTCCACGCATGCCAGAGGCAACTGATCGATGCTTCACTCTCACACCAATGTGTCCCTCCTTCTTTTCCTCCCTTCCTTTCCCCCTCTAAAAATAAATAAATAAAATCTTTAAAAAGGGGGAGTGGACAGAGGGCCTGAATAGGAGTGTCTTCAAAGAGGACACCCAGGTGGCCAACGTACATGTGAAAAGATGCTCAGCATCACTATCAACCTCACTACTCATCAGAGAAATGCCAGTTAAAACCACAGTGAGATACCACCTCACACCTGTCAGAATGGCCATCATCAATAACTTTTTTAAAAACACCAAACAAGTATTTGTGAAGACATGGAGAAAAGGGGACCCCTGTGCACTGTAGGTGGGAATGCAGACTGGTGCAGCCGCTGTGGAAAGCAGCATGGAATTTCCTCCAAAAAGTAAAAGTGGAGCTGCCTTATGACTCAGCAATTCCACTTCTGGGCGAATATCCAAAGAAACCCAAAACGCTGGTCTGAAAGAACCCATGCTTCCCTATGTTCATTGCAGCATTATTTATAATAGCCAAGCTATGAAAGCAACCCAAGTGCCCATCAATAAGCAAGCAGATACAGAAAACATGGTAAAGAAAAGTGGGTTTATATATATATAATGAAATATTACTTAGCCTTAAAAAGAAAGAACTCTCACCATTTTGGAAGGCCCAGGTAGACACAGGATGTATTATCCTAAGTGAAATACATCAAACAGAGAAAGGCAACTACAGAACCACATAATCTCACTTACGAGTGGAATCTAAAGAACAAAACCCAACAAAACAGAAGCAGACTCATAGATACGGACGACAGGCTGATGGTTACGGAGGAAGGGGGTGGAGGGCTGGGTGAAAAGGGTGAAGGGATTGACAAGCAGAAATCTGTAGTCACAAAATCGTCACAGGGATGTACGCACAGAATAGGGAATATAGTCCTTAACGTTGTAACGACTGGGTGTGGCGCAGGTGCGCGCTGTAAGTATCGAGGGGCGGGGCACTCTGTCAAGCCTGTCATTGCCTCACCGCCACTCTGTACGTCTGAGGTTAATAACGAAATGACACTGAGTATCGGGACCTCACTGCCATCCGCGGTGCACTCCAGGTGACGGGCGACACATGGGAGCGAAGGGCGCTCAGGCTGGGTGGGGTCACAGCCCTGCGTCTTGATCACCGCCGTGCGTGACCACAGCCCGGCTATGGCAGGAGAGGCGCGTGGGTGCGGGGAGACGGACGGACGTACCCCAGTCGGTGTCCCAGGAGCACTCCGCGCTCCACTCGCTCCAGATCCCGTTGTAGCCGCTGTCAGGCTTGACCCTCACTCTCGCCTGGTACCTGGCGGAGGGCTCCAGGGACGGCAGCGGCATGACGCGGGTGTTGGGAAGGCGCTCAGTCTTGCTCTCCTGGGGGTGCAGGCGTGTCGGCAGGGGTGCCGAGGCAACTTCCGGGCTCACGCGGGCATGGCTGCACTCCCCTCCCACCTCAGCACCCCAGTCTCTGCTGCCCGTCAGCCCCCTGCTGGGGTCACACTCCCCAGGTCTGAGGTAGGACACCCCCACCGGGAGGGACCCTCCTTTACTCCCAGAGACAGGGAGCACTCCCATGGGACCAGGGGCCACACGTCTTGCAATGGGCCCCTGTGACATATGATGACACCAAGGCCCAGAAACCCTACGGGGTCACCCTGTTCCATCCTCATCTTGAGATGCCTCAATTTCCCAGCTCCTCAGGGACAGCCAGGACCCCATCTGTGACCTCCCCAGACTGCCGCGCAGGGTGACTAGACTCCAGATCTAAGACAGGGGTTCAGGAGCCTGGGGCCTAGCCCCAGATCCACCACTGACCCATCCCCTCCTGGCCTCAGTTTCTCCATTTGCAGCTGGCCCTGAGGTTTCTGGTCTGCCCCCTGGGGAGCCTCAGGCTCTGCGAGTGGACGGAGGGCTGCCGGGGGTTGGGGGGTTGGGGCCGCGACCTCGCCCTGGGCGGGGCCCTGCCTGCAGTGCCAGCGGCAGGCTGCGCGTTCCTGTCGGATGGGACTCCTCGGAAGGAACGCCCCCTTCCTGACTTGGAGAACTCTTCACCCAGCACCTCGCAGCCCTCCCTGCCTGGACTTCTGTGCTTGCTTCGACATTCAGGGCCACCTGGGTCCACACCGGCCAAGTACCATCATCTCTCCGAATCTCACTCCAAGGGATGAGACAGTGAGCCACTGATCGCCCAGGGTTGTGACCACCAAGTGCCAGTGGCTTCTTTTGCCTGGTCACCTGCAGGAGCCAGGCCTCTGACAGGAGGCACCTTCCCAGGTCGCCCCCACCTGCCACCACAGAACCCTCCAGGGCACATGCCCGCACCTGCCAGGAGACCGCAGCTTTCTTGTACTGGACTTGGAAGGCGTGCATGATGTGTGAGAAGGACATCTTCTCCACCTCCCAGCGCAAAACGTGGCCGTCTCTGTCCTTGGTCACACTGAGCGTCGGGGGCGCCATCTGGACTGGGGGGAGGAAACTTTTAGGGGCGTTGTGCCTATGTTCCTCCCAGGGGACGTCCCTTGCCTTCTGTGTCGATCCCAGGTGCTGTCTCCAGTGGCCCGGACCTCAGGCCCCGCCCACCCCAGGGTCACTGTCACCATCTCCCCCGGTTTGACCTGAGCAGCCCTGTTCTTGGCTGCTGAGGAGTCTCCCTTGTTTTGTGGTGAGGGGACCCACAGCACAGGTTACCGTATGTTGCTGTGTATAACGTGCACTTTTTTTGCCCAAATTTTTGAGGGAAAAATAAGGATGTACATTATAGGTGGGTAGTACTAATTCTGTATCTATATAAATATTTTCAATTCTTTTATTTATGCGTATGCATCAAAAGTGTAATTCTAGAAAGCAATAACGATATCCGTGTGCAAAATAATATCCTGGAATACAATAATCAGGTTTGTTTTTAAATATAAATAAAAATTGAATTAAAAAATTAAAATGAAAGGATTTTTTCCCTGAAAATTTGGGCCAAAAACATGTGCATTATACATGGCAAAATACGGTACTCAAAATACTTAAGTAAAAATAAAACCACTATAATTGGCTCTGTTCTAGAGCCGTGACTGTGTTCGAGACACTTAGACATGCTCAGCCCGTGTGAATTAGTTCCCTCTAGTCTGGCAGCAACCCTCTGGGCAGGTGCCAGTAACGCGCCACAGTTTGCAGACAGAGAAGCTGAGTCCCAGAGCACTTAGTCACTTGTTGAGGACAGGCAGCTAGTGAGGGGCAGAGGTCAAGGTTGTAGCCTGGCCGATCCCCAGAGAGCAAGTGGTGGATCCTAACCCCGGTGACTCGGACAAATGGGCTCCAGCCTGGAGGTGGGTGGGAGACCTTGATCGTCCTCAGACAACGCGGGGGTTCCTTTGCACGGCACTCGCGGCATAACCGGAAGCAGGGATACTAACCCGCAAGGAGTGTGGGCTGATTCGCCCCCACCCCAGCCCCCACGTGAGGCAGTGAATCCCAGGTCAGTTATTGTGAAGACTGAAAGGATCCGTGGGGGGGACTCCGGAAACGTGAAAGCAGAAAACCCAACCGGGAACTAAAGGAACAGTTTGGTGGGAGGAGCAGGCTGAGAGCTGGAGATTCAGTGCCTGGGAGGAACTGGACAGGAAGGCAGAGCTCAAAGGAATGGAGGAAGGGCATTGGACTCCCGGGGAAGGTCAGTGAACCTTCTTACATGCTAGTTGCCATTGTCATTATTTTTAAAATTTATTTGTTTTTAGAGAGAAGGGAAGGAAGGAAGAGAAACATGGATGTGTGAGAGATGGATCAGCTGCCTCATGCACACCCGCTACTGGGGACCTGGCCTGCAACCCAGACATGCACCCTGACTGGGAATCCAGCCGGCGACCTTTGGGTTTGAGGCCGGCCCTCAATCCACTGAGCCGAATCAGCCAGGGCTTTTTTGTATTAATGCTCCCTGAGAACTTAAAGAGAAGATTCTAATGAGCTTTGTTCACTTTACCCACTGGACTGAGTTTCTTCAAAGCGACAAATGTAGAGACAGGGACATAAGGAGCCCTGAGTTTATGCAGGTTACATCCACAACACACACAACTGTCCCAAGATCCCCTTGTCCCCTCGCTGGAAGGCTGAGGGCAAACTCACTGTTCTCAGAGCTCTTTATACACTTCTCTTCCACCTTCGGCCGAACGGAGATGAGGTACTGGCTGTGGCTCTGGGGGTCGGCCACGGGGACCTGGCACCGGTACAGGGTGTGGGGGCCGTGGGCCTCCTCCTTCAGCACGGAGGAGCACTCCTTCTCCCTGAGGGTCAAGGCAGCAGTGAGCGCAGCAGGAGGCAGGGACCTCGGGAGGGGTGGGACCTCGGGACGAGCTGTGGCTGTTGCTGAGCACCCAGGGGAGGGGGTGGCCTGGGGAAGAGGGGAGGGTACGGAGGAAGGGGACACTCACTCTGCGTCGGGGCCGGACCTGTAGAAGAGGGTGAAGGAGATGGAGCTGGTCACCTCGGACCTTACTTCCCAGGAGCAGCTGAGCACGGCGCCCCCGTCAAAGACGCACCGGAGGTTCTGGGGCTGGGCCTTGTCCCCTGGAGGGGAGACAGTCCCCCGCTCACTCACTCCTCCACTCCTTCCCCAGCCCTCCGCCGCTGCCCACCTCAGGGCTCACTCCAGGGAACTTCTGGGCTTTGGGGCCCAAAAGGCCAGGGGTTAGACTTCAGCCTGAACCTGCCAGCTGTGCGCCCACAGGACAGAGAGTGAATTCTGTGAACCCTCAGCCCCTCCGCCACCATGGGAGTGGGGACAGTGTCTAGTGCCGGGGTCTGGGGATTCTCGCAGGAATGGTGTTTGTCTGCCCATGGTGCAGGTTTCATGCAAACGCCGCCATTCAGGATGAAACGGTGACCCCAGTGTCATGATTACAAGGCACACAGTGTGCAGACACCAGGGCCCTGAGCAAGCTGGGCTGCCTCTACAGAGCCTCTTGGGGCGGGTGGGCCCAGGGAGGCGACTTTAAACACCCTGTGTAGGTGGGCAGAGTCCGCAGTGTGGACCGTGGGACTCCTGCCTCGGAGCCCAATGAGCCGCCCTCCCTGCAGAGGGACAGCGCCTCCCCTTGTCCCCTTACCTGGCTGGGAGTCCCAGTGAACCTCTGGGCTCCACGGGCTTGGCCTTCCAGAGAGCCTGGAGCCCTGGCCCAGCCGGGCGCGCACTCGGGCCACGTAGGTGCAGCTGGGTAGGAGGTGCTCCGGCCCCAGATCGGCCTGCGGGGAGGTGGTGTAGAGGGTGGAGGCATCCTGCCAGGAGAGAGGGGCTGTTGGAGCAGCCGCCGGCTGGGCCTAGTCCCTGTGGGCTGAGGGCCGAGCTGGCCGGGGTCCCTACCTCCCAGGAGTCCTGAAGCCGCCTGTAGACCACCTCAAACTCCAGGTCTGACAGCCACTGGCCCTGGGAACACCCGAGGGCCGTACTCCAGGTCAGCTGGAAGTGGTCTGTGGTAGCAGTGATGCGGAGGTCCGTGGGTGCGGGGGGCTGCACTGAGGGAGAGGAGGGCAAGGGACTGTGAGGGGCTGGGCGGCAGCGAGGTGGTCAAGGCCCTGCATGGTCTTTGTGTGGACAGCCGGGGTTTCCGGGAGGAGCGCTGGCCCCACTGGCTGACTGACCTCGGACCAACCCCAGCCCTCTGTGGGCGTCAGGCCCTTCCTCTGCCAAACCGTGGGGACTCAGTGGATAAAGGCTGTGCAGATGGCTGTGCCTTGATACAAGGCGCCAGCAATTAAACTGGAAATGCAGCCTCCCTCAGTCCCCAGGTCCCACTGCCCAGGATGCTGTGTGTCCTTCCCCACCCAGCAGAGGGCGCTGTGGCTCACATTACTCTCTATGCTCCCCCTCTCCACCTGCCCTAGGTCTTGCACCTCTCAGTGCCCAGCATGAGAGTTCCTCTTCTAGAACCTTCTTGGATCCCCTCCACCAGGCAGAATCTTTGCTCCTTTTCCAGTTCCACCATCATCAACTATATGGTCCTTACCCTGGTGGGTTTGTGTTTCCCCATCTGCCTCCCCAATGGCAGAGGAGCTGGTGGGTGGCAGGGTGTGGCCCTTGGTCCCCTCCCTTCTCCCCAGGGCCTTCGATGCAGCGGTTCAGTGCATTTGGGGGGGTGAAGCGAACGAAGAGGCGAGTGAAGACAGGCGGCAACCCCCAGGGCCTTCTCATGAATCCCGTCCCTCCACCCACAGCAAGCCGGCCCCTGTGGAGGCCTCGAGGGCAGCGTGGGCAGCTTCACGAGTGACTGGTCAGGCCCTGACCGTGAAGCCTCTGTGTCTGGCTGCCCAGGGGTGGCTTTCAAACACAAAGAATTCAACGAAAGCCTGAATAAGGTGTACACATTTGAGGCTGGGCGAGGAACGTGGTCAGAGTGGAGCCTGCAGAACATGAGCCCGGAGCGGCGGACACAGGGTGCCCCCTTCCTCCCATGGCCACACCAGGCATGCCTGGTCCCCCCTGCACTCCCAGCCCCCCAGCCTGTCACGGAGTGGGCGTCCTTCTCTGCGTGGGGCTCTAGGAAGCTGCTGCCAACTGAACTGACTGGGAGCCCAGTGGAAGGCCTAGTCATCGAACCTGAGAGGCTTTAGTCCACCAGCCCATTTCACAGATGGAGAAACTGACTGAGGAAGTGAAACATCCAGATCTCCAAATGTGGGAGCCCCGAGCCTGCCAGGTGCATCCCGCCCCCTCCTCAGCACCTCACAGCCTCCCTGACTCGTTGCCATAATAAATGAGGTGGACCTGACTTCCACCAGGCAAACGGGCCCCTCATGCCCCATTTCCTGGTGTCCCTGTACCCACTGTGATACCTTCCCCATTCCCAGGCCATAAGCTTCACAAGGGCAGGGGTCCTTCCAGGCTTGTTCAGGGCTTCCCTGGTGTACGTAGTGCTCAGTGAAGGAGCAGATTAAGGGATGTGTTGCAGGCACATCCCAGCTTTGACTTAGATCGCCGTATCCCCACCCCTTGCCCCGTCCCAGGTGAATCCTCCTCGTTTCTCCACGGGATCAGGACCCAGGTGACGCTCTGAGCTCCGATCTCCTGCCACTTCCTCCCCGAGCCGTTCACCGTGTGCATCCAGCCGTGCTGGCCTCTTCACACCCACACCTGTCCCTGTCATGCCCTTTCAATGCCTTTCCATCGCCTAGACTCTGACCTATAAATGCCCCTGCAGGGCACAGGCCTCTCTAGGCCAGGCCCCCGCCTTCACTGCCCCGGCCTTCCTGCCACTGTCTGGCCCTCCTGACGCTGATGCTCTCGGGACTCAAGTTATTAGCGGGTTTTCCAACCTGCCTGACACTCCCGAGTCTCGCGGCCTTTGCACACGCTGCTTCCCCTGCTCTTCCCGCTCTCTTCTCCCACCCACCCTGCAGGTCTCCCTGCAAAGCTTGTGCCTCTGGAAAGCCCGTCCCAACCTCCCAGGGTCTCCTCGCCCACCGCTCCTCTGTGTGTGGCATGACCTGCCTTCAGGGCACGATCACTGCAGACCGTACCTGGTGCTCCCCCTCCAGCCCCAGCCTGTGCACAGCACCCGGGGCAGGGCTCTTTCTCAGCCATTGAACCCACACTGTGAGACACAGTCTGAAATGCATTCCGCCTGGTCTAACCCGCCTGCTCCTCCAGACACAGCTTTGTGTTGCGGGGACAGAGGCAGGCAGCCACGGCCAAGCCCTCCCATCGGACGTTTGCAAGGCGCACCACAGGATGGCCCGTGTTTGGGACACTAAAGTCAGAAATCAGATCTGAGTCACTCTGGACAAGTCCCTTGCTCTCTCAGCCTCAGTTTCACCATCAGGGAATTGGGGTAAAAGAAATGGCACCCGGCACCATATGCTACTGTAACTGGGAAATAACCTCAGGCAGTATTTCCTGAAAGCCAGCCATCGGCAATTTCCTGCCATGTGGACATTAACTTTTAAAAAGGACCCTCTGCCCTGGTCGGTGGCTCAGCTGGTTGGAGTGTTGCCCTGTAGACCAAAAGGTCATAGGTTTGATTCCTGGTCAGGGCGTGTGTGACAGGCAACCAGTCAGTGTTTCTCTCTCACCCTGCTGCCCCCCAAGCCTCTTCCCCCCATCTGTCTAAAAAGCAAGGAAAAAATGTCTTTGAGGGAGGGTTTAGAAAAAATGACCCTCCTCCGTCTTTACTTAAGGCTCATTCTGAGTGAAATAAAATTGAATGAATGAGATTAAAGCACTGGTTACAATTTTGTCTACTGTATGGTCAAAGGAAGCCTAACTATTTACATAAAGTGACCATGAAGACCATGGGCTGTCCCGGGCCATCGTGTGACACTGGGGGCCACGCAGCGAGGGCAGTTAGAAGGTTGTGAGGTCCTTCTGACGTACAGGAAGCACCTGGCAAGCCTGACACAGAATTGTCACTTCTGCTCAGTGGCGGCACTCTGGACAAGTTACAAAACCTCTCTGGGTCTGAAGGGCCTCCTCTGTAGGACGGGCTATTGCAGACCGTGGGTGGGATGAGCTGGCGAGTCATTAGTGGATCAGAAGATTCTGGAAGGGAAGCCTTCGTGCCGGAAGGCAATGGCTCAGCACCGGGGGAGCGGCCAGGGCCGGGGGGCCACTTTATCCGGGCTCCCCACAGTGTTCCTGCTCCAACACCTTCATCGTAAGGGGACTGCACTTCTTCCCTCAAAAAACCAAAGCACCGCCAAGCCAGCGTCTCCATCCCTTGCTGGCCCACCCCCGGGAGTCCAGCCCCCCCGGGGCTGCTGTCCTCACTGGGGCCCATCCCCAGCCGAGGACCCCAGGTCTCACCATTCTGGCTCAGAGTAACGGCGAGCTGGGCGCCCAGAGGCCTGTCTGGTTGGAACGAGAAGTTGTCCTTGTCAGAATTGACGAACAGCGTGTAGGGAATGACGCATCTTCTGGGCACACAGGGAGGAGAGGGGCATTCTGACCAGAGCATGTCGTCGCTGAGCTCACAGGACACCGGCTGCGGGGGGCTCCTGCCAGGGGAGGACACGGGTTAGACCAGCGCGAAGAGGAACCGCTCGTTCATGGCATCATCGTGATTCCCATGTGCGAGGCTTCGTCCCGGGCCAGGGGCCCTGCTGTGGACAAAACACCCACAAATCCTGCCCCTGAAACCGACATCCTGCTGGAGGGAGACGCACGTGAAACAGCTGAATGAAATAAGTCGTGTGCCAAACAGAGGAGACTGTGCGCGATCGGGCGCAGCCGGAAAGGACAAGGAGCCCAGAAGCACTGGAGTGGGGAGTGCAATTTGAAACAGGGGCGATAGGAAAGGCCTCCCGGAAAAGGTGCCAACTGAGGAGAAACTTGAAGGAGGTGGGGGAGGAGCCACGCTCATTCCAGGGAAAGGAGATTTCAGGTCATTGAAACAGCAAGTACAAAGGCCCTGGGGCAGGCTCAGAGGGGCAGGAGGTGCAAAGGCCCTGGGGCAGGCTCGGAGAAGTGGGTGTATGAGTAGGCAGTCAGACACTGAGCAGTGTGTGCAAGTCGGGAAGGTCTAGGAGTCTAACTGAGTCAGGCGACAGGAAGTCACCAGCTGAAGAGAGTTTAAGGAATTTGGATTTTACTGTAAGAGGGAAAAATGAGAGAGTGGTGAGCAAAGGAGTGACATCTTCTGACGTGCTTTGCAAGGACTCCTCTGGCTGCTGGGTTGTGGATGGCTAGGGTCGGGAAGGATGGCAGTTAGGAGCAGTTAGGAGGCTCGTGGAATATCCCGAGTGATAGGAAATGGTTCGAACCAGTGCGGTGGCGTTAGCACTGGCTGGATTCATGTTCTATTTGAAGATGAAGTTGACAGAATTTGCAGACTGGTTAGATGCTCCAGCGGGGAAGGAGAGGTGGTAGAGAGATTCAAACATCAACAAAACCCTCCAGGTGTTGGGCTTGAGCCACTCGGAGCCCCCATTTAGTGAAGGGAGATGGCAAGACTGGAGCTGGAGCGGTCTTCGGGGGACAGGGCAGAAATTTGGTTGAGGATGTTTGGGGTTGAGGACATCTGTCTTCTAAGGGATGATGTGGAGAGGCAGGCAATCCTGTTGGCTTGCAGCTCAGGGGGAGGTCTGGGCTGGAGGGAGCGGGGAGGGACCCGGAGCCTGAGGCTGGATCTTTGCCATTGGGTCGGGATATAAGACTGCAGGACTGAGCTCTGGGGCATCACACTCTTCAAGTTCAAAACCAAAGAAGGGAGCAGACTCGGAGACAGAAAGAATAGGCCAGGGAGACACAGGACAAAGAATGAGTGTGGTGGCCAGAAGTCAGGAGAGAAAAAGGCTTCAGAAGGACCCTGTGGTCAGTCCAAGTCAGGTGTGCTCCGGGTCCAGAGGGGAGAAGCTCAGACTGACCATTAGCCTGAGCCCCAGTGGAGGGCTTTGCTGCCTTTGGCAGGTGCAGTTTGGGCGGCCTGCTGGGGGCGACAGAATCCTGGGGCAGTAGTTCGGGAGAGACTGACTGGAAGGACACTGGGAACACAGGCTGGGACAACTCTTCAGTGGAGTGTTGTTACAAAGGGAGGCGGAGAGTGGGCCCTGACGGGAGGAGATGGGGTAGGGAGGTGGCCTGGAGTTGCACCCCCTTCTTGGCATCTGGAGGTGGGGGTCCGGCACGTTGGCTCAGCAATTGCGAATGATCCCAGGGAGGGTCCACTGAAAGCACAGGGAAGAGTGGAGACCATGGTGGCAGTGATGTCCTTCAGCAGCAAGACCGGGGGGTGGGGGGAAGCTGGCTGCAGAATCACTGCGGGGGATCCCTCCCTGCAGGTAGGTCCAGGGAGGTGGCCGGCGTGTGGCCCCGCAGTGAGAGCACGCAGGGGCTGGCGCTTCCTTCCTGGGAGCCTGGTGTCTCAGCTCAGGAGGAAGCCGGTCACAGCCAAGGGCGGGCGGTGGCGGCAGTAATGGGGAGGGTGGAGAAGGAAAGGTAGACGTTTCTGGGAGAGTGGCAGGAGGGCTGAGTGGCCATGCTGTGGCTGTGACAGTGGCTCCTTCCCAGAGTGACCCCCCCAGGGGTCCTCCCATCCCTGGGATGCTGACAGTTTAATTATTCCTATCACTATGAGTCAGACTGTCACCAAATCCCAGCCTGGTGGGAGGCGGCTCGCCAAATGCCACAGGCCCTGAAGACGCCCTGAGGGGAAAGGACAAACCCCTCCACCTGGAGGTCTCAGGGTCTCAGGGACACATGGAGCCCACCCCCACAGGCCCGACACAGGATTCCAGCCACCACGTGGTTGGGCGGAGGTGCGGACCTCAGCTCCACAGCCTCGGTTTCCTCATCTGTGAGCTGGGCAGTCTACCCCTGCCCTGCCGGTCTCTAAAGCAGAACTTGCGCAGGGTGACTTTGCTACATTGTGATGAAATTAGGGAAGATTATCACCATCGGCAGCAACAACATTAACGCAGATGCTTTCCCTGGAAACCCTGGTGTGAGACGCCAGCACCCCTGCCCGGAGGCCACCTGACGGAGCTGGAGCTCCTAGGCCTCCCTCCTCCGTCCTCTGTGCAGCCCCCCGTGGGCACAGCCAGGCACGGCAGCCCCGCCCTGCCCTCAGCCCCGTGCCCCCGCCACTCACTCATTCAGCCTGCGGTAGAGGGTCACATTGACGAACCGCTGGGCATCCTGGGTGTCGGCCCACCCACACACGATGCGGCTGGTGTAGTCATTGTGACAGCGCAGGGTCTGCAGTGGGACGGTCCCCGGCCCGGGAGAGGCCAGGAGGGGGTCACACCTCTCCCCTCCCCTGTCTGGATAGAAGCACAATGTTCTAGTTAATTCCCAGTGCATTTCCTGAGCCCCTGCTGTGTCCCTGATGCCCCAGGACAGGGACGTGCACCTGGCACAGACCCTGCTCCTGGAGCCCTGGGTGCATCCCGGGAGGAGAGGCACAAACCCACCGAGAGGCACCGGGCCCACCCTGCTCTCGGACCTCCTGTCAGTTAGCAGCCGGGCTTGATGGCTGGAAAAGGGAATGTGGCTCCCATGGTTACCAGAGAGCCGAGTTCCCTGGGAGCCCTGGAGAAGCAGGGTTCACGAGCCTCAGGAGCAGCCCAGCTGGGCCTCCAAGCAGGAGGAGTTTGCTGGAGCTGAAGCAGGAAAAGACCCCCAGTCAGGGGGCCCCAGGGAGATGGGCATCAGTCAGGCCACCGTCAGAAGAGCAGAGTGGGGAAGGGGGGACAAGAGAAGGGGCAGAGAAAAGGCTGGAAGGGCCGGCCTGGAGGTCAGAGGCCTCGAATGCCACACTGAAAAATGTGGGCAGAGAAAAAGCATAAGCCGAGATGGACTTTAGAGGAGGCCTGAGAGAATGGGCAGGGGTGTGGGAGGATGTAGGGTGGGGGGCACCTGGGAAGGTTAGGGAGAGAAAAGAAATGAGGAAAAGGAGAGAGGGAAGGGAGGCCGGAGTCACTGGGAGCCTGGGGGGGGGGGGGAATGTGTGGGGGTCCAGCAGCGAGGAGTGAGACTGAGAGGGGAGGGGGTGGGGAGGGACGTCAGCTCACCTGGGGCCCCTGCCATGCTGGGCCCCCAGCACAGAGCCAGCAGGGTCATGAAGAGCAGCCACCAGGGCGACGCCATCTCCGGGTCAGCTGTGGATGAGCAGGGTCCAGGTCTTCCTGGCCTGGAATCTTGTGTCCCTCCCCAGTTGGGGGCCAGACTATAGCCTTGTCATCTGTTCTTGTGAATCCTCCCTCCAGAACTCGTTTTCTCCAGGCCTGCGGAGGAAACGTCATTGGGAAGCTGCCCCTCCCAGTCCTGTATCCCCAGGGCCTCAGCTCACTTTTGGGGCAAACCCAGGAGTAGCCCTGATGCATGGGCTCCAGCCCCCACTGGAGAGTCCCGTCCCCTGAGCCTCAGTGTCCTTGGGTGTGACCACGAGCGAGAAGCACTCATGACCTCTGAAGGCGTGGGCTCCCACCGGGCGGGGCACCCGGCACCCCGCGCAGTACCCTGGTGGTGGGGAACCCTGAGAGGGAGGCCTGGTGTTTGGCTTGCCTTGAGTGCCCCGTGGCTACTGACCTACGTCTGCTCTGGAGACTCGCCGGGTGCTGGGGCCACGGCGTCCTCCCCTGGGTGTGATCACGTGCTCACTCACACCCCCGGGACCGGTGCTCTCCCCACCTCTGCCCGGGTTCCCGGCATTCCTCCCACACGGCTGTCTGAACGCCAGTTCCCTATTCTCAGCAGGAGGCTGGGGACTTCCTCTTTCCATCCCTAGGAAGATGGCCTGAAACTTCGCTCTAGTTGTGGGAGCTGCGTGCACACGCATGCACACACACACACACACACACACACGAACACCCTCACACACCAGCAGCCACCCTGCTGGGAAAAGCAGTACTCTGTGCTCAGCCACCTTGACCTTCAACACAGGCACTGGCCTGCTCTGGCCGGGGGCCGGACTAACTCCCCCACGCCCTTTGAACCTCACTGTGCCTCTGTGAAGTGTCCATGAGCACGCATGTCATTCACAGGGTTGTCATGAGGAGAACCAAAGGCGATGATGTTTATAGACCGTTTGGGCTGATTAGGGTGCAAGAAAGAGGAGTGGGTTTGTTGGGAGCTGGGGAGAGAGGGCCCGCTTCCCGTCCTGCGGGGGGTGGGGGGGGCAGTGCCCAGGGTGGGCGAGTGCGAGGCTGTGCGGGCTGCCCCTGGCACTGGCCCGAGAACAGTGCTTTACTGGGGTCTTATCATGGCTAGAAAGACTACGCATGTAAAGAAAGCAATTCATCCCGAAATAAGTTAAAGGGTTAACACGAGTCTTATAAAACTGAAACTTTTTTGCAAAAACTCGATAGAAAGAAACATTTTTGGGGAGAGTCAATGAGATATTTAAAGATGAGGAGGTTTAACCCACTAGCAAAATGTACTAGAAAGATCTGACAAATAAAGGAGTGTGTTGTGCTCTCTCTCTCTCTCTCTCACACACACACACACACACACACACACACACACACACGATAGATCAATGGCCACAGACCCGACAAAGTCTGTTTTGCCCAAGGATGGGCTCTCTGGTGAAGGAGGGACAGGAAATCAGCAGGGAGGAATTGGAGGAAGCGCTAAGATAACTGAACAGCATACAGTGCATCAGCCCAAACCCCTCTCTCATACAAGTCCCCGAATATCAGGCCTTTTTAAAATTTAAGTGGAAGAAGTCAAAGCATATTAAACTCACAAACCATAGAAGTGAATACCTTAAAACTGTGCAAACTTAAAAGCAGAAGAAGAAATCAGAGACGAAGGCTGACAGAAAGTACATAAAAGCAAATTTTTCTATATTTTATAAAAATAACTAGACCGTAAAGCAAAGAACAAGGGGACGAAGTCATGTCCGCAGCAAGAACACAGAGAACAGATAGCTGTCTTCACATTGTAAATGGTGAAAAGTAGTTAGTGTCAGCAAAGAACACACACGTAAAAATCACTCACACACAGAATTCCTGTTAGTGGCTAACAGTGATAAAAGGCTGACCGAGCCCTGGCTGGTGTGGCTCAGTGGATTGAGTGCCGGCCTGTAAATCGAAGGGTCACCAGTTCGATTCCCAGTCAGGGCACAGGCCCGGGTTGAGGGCCAGGGCCCCAGTTGGGGGCCTGTGAGAGGCAGCTGATCAATATGTCTCCCACACACTGATGTTTCTCTCCCTCTCTTTTTCCCTTCCTTCCCCTGTCTCTCTATATAAACAAATCAAATCTAAAAAAAAAATAATTCTGACCATGAGCCTGGCCGGGTTCAAAGGGCTTTACAGATATTAATAATCCGTGTGTTGGTTACTATGAGAATCCCCACTCTATCACTGAGGAAAGAGGTAAAGGGTCCACGGTGACAGCCTGGTGACAGACAGGCTGGGACCGAAGGCCACAGCAGGCAGGCGCTAGAGTTTGTGCTCTCGACCACTCCATCGGCAGCGGTGGTGTTTCCCAGTCTCCTGTGCCGCACCCGAGCCAACACTCTCGCAGACACGTCTGCGGGCGTGCCCACCCAAACAGAGCCCCAACACACCAGGACTTCCAAACGTCTGAACTGGCGCCCCCAGGGAGATCTGGGAAATGACGGCCATTCAGAAGGACAAGCCTCTAGGCAAAGAACAAACAGAGATTTTGGAATTTGGTGGTGAAATAGTCATAATTTTAAAAAACCTCAGTAATGGGCCAAATTACAGAACAGACACTATAAACAATTACATTGTGATGGTGCATATTAAAGACAGAGCGAAAGGACAAGGAGAGGGAACGCCCTCAAGGGCAGCTGAGACCTGGCCATGAAACCCAGGAGTTCCGACGTCTACGAGCAGAGGACAGAGAGAGCTGAGGGCGGGTATGGCGGACAGTGTCAGGCAACGAGCTGACAGAAGCTCGGGTTTTATCTGGGACTTTGGCTGCACAGAATAAACGACTATTCCCTACAGTCTCTCATTGTTGAGTGTGGTCACATGACTAAAGGTTGTCCAAGGAGATGTGAGTGGACACATTGGATGAGCTACTTAAAAAAGGTTGTTTAAAGAGAGTTGGCTCAGGTGGGAGAGGTCCATTTTTGTTCTACCTTTCCACATCCTTCCAGCCTGAAACTTGGAAGTGATGGTCGGAGCTCCAGCAGCCGTTTTGGACCATGAGGTTACCTTGAGGATGAAAGCTACGTGCAACAGCAAGGGGGAAACCTGCATCCGTCTTTTCACTGTGGAGCAACTGCACCAGCCTGAAACTGCCTACTTTTAGACATCTTTTATGTGAGAGAAAAATAAACTTCTGTATTGTTAAACCACTGACTGTCGTTTGGGGATGTTTCCTTGTGCCCCCAAATAGATACAATTAGAAACAGAAGAAAACATCACAGGGCTTTGAAGGAGATGACAGTTCACTAAGTGAGGAGCCAGATTAATTTTTAATAGTGATACCAGTCACATACTGCTGAACTTTCAATCATCCAAGAATAAAAGCGTAATCCTAGAAGCTTCCAGAAGGAAGGAAACAAACAGATTATTTTTAATGCAGCAAGGGTCAGGTGGGAAAGATTTTCTCAAGAAGTTAGTGACTCTGAACTCTAGATAGATAGTGCTGTCTTGAAAGTATGGAGAGACAATATATTTAAACCTAGACTCATAAAATGTCAAGTTTACTTTGAAGTTCAAGGGCCAAAAAACCCCCACAACATTTTGGAAATGTAAGGACCAAAAAAAGGGTTTTACATCTTTTCTGAAAAATTACTCTCAGATGTATTTTTTTTTAATCCAAGAAAGAAAGAAAACATGTGATACTGGAATCGGTGGTAAGAAAATAAACCAATAAGACTTACAGTTAAGTAAAGAATCGTTACTGAATAGAAGGAAAATAAATCAGTACAAGATACCAGTATTAAATCCAAAAATCAGATGATTTTAATGTGACAGTTGGCTGTGAGGTTGGGGTGACAGCACAGAAGTGAAAACCTACCAAGGAACTTGTCTGCTTTGGAAGAGCGTGTGTATGGTCACTGAGAGTCAAGGTAACCACAGGGGCAGGACGATGACAGAGAGGGAAGGAGAGGAGGGAGAGGGAGAACAGAGAAGAGAAAAACCAAATACTCTCTCGCTCAAAATGAACACACACACCAAAATTCCCAAACTTGTGAAGAACTTTAATGGTAGGAATGAAAGCTGGAAATGGAAAAACAAACAAACAAACCAAGTTTACTGTAGAGAAAAACAGTTTCAGAGGGTAGTCTGGCAGAGAGCCATTGAGAAATCTATTCATGATAAAAAGAAACAGATGAATAGAGTGGAGAAGAAAAATGGGTAAGATTATTATTATTATTATTATTATTATTATTAAATTATTTTATTCTTACCCGAGGACATTTTTTTCATTGTTTCCAGGGAGAGAAAAAGAGAGAGAGGAAGGGGGAGAGAGAACATTGATTTGAGAGAGAAAAGCATCAATTGGTTGCTCTTTGCTTGTGCCCAGACTGGGGATCACACACGCCTGAACCAGGGATCGAACCTGCAGCCTACGTATCTGCCCTGACTGGGAATTGAACCCACAACCTTTCAGTTACAGTGCTGACGCTCCATCCAACTGAGCCACACTAGCCAGGGCGGGTAAGTTTATCTTGATAGACACTCCTAAGTAATTGATACGAACGCCATTTGGTACAAAAACCATTCCTGACTAAACAAACAAACAAACAAACAAACAAACCACGGCGAATGAGGAGAGGACGGACAGGTCTTTGGCGTGTCTGGTTATCTACTGGAAACCTGTGGCTCCATCAGAGGCAGAGAGAACGACAGGGCCCTCCCGGTCAGAGGCACAAAGGAGAAGCTGCCCCTTGTCGGCAGTCTTCTCCCCAATCATCTCCAAACTCCATGCAGTCTGGATCAGAACTCCAAAACAAGTTCCAACAGGATTTTTAATGGGTGTGACTGACCAATTGTAAATCATAACAAACCAAAGATGAGAGACTCGCTTTATTAGCTATACAAATAATAGGGAAGATAATAATAGGCAGATGGGACAGAATACAGTAAGGAAAACCAGCAAGGAGGGCTTTAGGGGGCCATGATGGCGTTTCAGCCACCGAGGCTGCACACACGTCATCGGTGACATTGCCACAATTAGCTGATCACTTTATAAGTTAACTTATTACTTTACACATTACCCTCCTCTCTAAATTCTAGGTGGATTGAAGATCTAAAAATCAAACTAAAATGATGAAAGCATCACAAACAGATCTTTAACCTTAGGGCTTGAACACGAAATCTAGAAAGCGCTAAGTAAAAAATAATACAGATTTGATTTAGAAGCAATGAACACATTTTTAAATAAAACAAGGTATCTTTCACGTGGTGGAAAAAAATAGACAAGTGATCATCTGGAAGAATATTTTTTCGACATATGCAAATAAATTGTTAATCCACAAAAGACTGACTCGTTTCTAAAGTGAAGGCGTCCAAGTCACAGAGCCCATCAGAAAGGAGACAAAAGACACTTCCATGGGCGCCATCAAAGGTGTCCATTTGGCGACGACGCGAAACTTCACCCATAATCAGAGACAAAAATCCAAGAAGAACCAGATCGTTTTCATCTGTTACATTGGACCCAATTAAAAGATTCTTTTTCTGAAGAGAAATCAGCCTTTTTGTGCATGACCGTGTGGGTATCTGTTAATTTTGCTACCTTGAGGATGATTTGAAAAGAGCTATTATAGGTTAGTAAACGCGCAGTCTCCTGTTGCCCAGCAATTCTGCCTCTGGGGATCTGGGCCGCAAAATCGCTTTCACAGGTGTGGGAAAACACCCCAAGTGTCGGTGGGGGACTGGGCAGACTGTGGAGTGTCCGCACTAATAAATGCCACACATCTTAGGGTTAATAATGAATTCAATCTATATGCATTATTGTGGAAAGTTGCTAAGACAGTATTAGGTGAGAAAATAAGTCACAGAACAATATGTATGTAATAATCCCATTGATGTATGAGGAAAAACTATATACTGCTGTGGCTGGGTGGTCAGTTGCTTGGAGCATTGTCCCATACACGGAAAGGTGGCAGGTTCAAATCCCAGTCAGGGCACACACCTAGGTTGCAGGTTTGATCCCCAGCATGTATGGGAGGCAACCGATCCATGTTTCTCTCTCACAACAATCTTTCTGTCTCTCTCCCTTCCTCTCTCTCTAAAATCAATAAAACCATAACCTCAGGTGAGAATTTAAAAAAAAAGAAAGAAAGAAAGACTACATACACTACACTTAGAAAATGGAAGGATGCATGTGATGAAGAGGGTGGGATGTGGGACCGGAGGACAGAGACGACCGGGACTTTGTCTTTTTTGCTGCACAATTTCAGGTTGTTCCAATTTTTCACAGAGCAGCTACCCATGCATTCACTTGTTTAATGTTAAATACGCTCATTAACTGCGTTCGCCTGTAGTGTTGGTGAAACAGCACAGAGTGAGAAAAACTGAGGAATAAAGAAAGAGGAGATGAAAGGTCCTAGGAAAGGTGTTACTCATTTAAAATAAATTAATTAAAAAAAAAACTACTAGGCAGTAGGAAGGGCGACAGGCAGAGGGAATCAGAATCGGGTCGCGAAATAGCAGGGCCTTGGAGGAGGAGAAACCACGCACCGGCTACTTGTCACTAAAGGCAGTGTGGTGAGGCCCGCGGACTCCTGCCCTGGTTCGGACCCCACAACTCCTGCCCTGTCGGCCACAGGGCCAATGCCCACACCTGCACGAATGTGCTGACAGCCCTGGACGCCCACCCGCCCACCCAGGTGGCACACTGGGGGACAGAACACACACCAGCTAAGTGATAACACTTCAGGGCGAGTGTGATAGCAAAAACGTTCTCCGAGGAGGAAAAATATGTGTGAGAGTAAGAGACTGGCTCCTTCTCATTTTCTGAAGTGAACTTCCCAAGCCGCACCAAGCCCTGGGCCTGAGCACAGAGGGCTCCAGGTTTCCCCTTCAGCCTCCCAGTCTCACGTTCCCTCATCCCCGAGTCCCGTGGACATCCCGTGCGCTCCCAGTCTCTCTCTCTCTCTGCCCACCACCCCACGGGGTATCAGGTACTATGGCGCTCTTCCCACACAAGCCCGGAGCAGAAAGTAAATGTTCCCACTGCCTCCAACACCTAGTGACACTTTAGTAAACAAAGCAGAGAGGGAGGGGACCCGGCATCTGACTCGCAGGCCTGACCCTCCACCCTGCACCATTCCAGGGCAGTAGAAGCCCACCAGCGAGGCCTGTCCTCTCCCCAAGCCCAAGCACCCAAGCTGGTCAGCACCCAGGCTGACTCCTCGCCCACCAGCTTCCCTGGGAGTCCGGGCTCAGGTCTTTCCAAGAGGTCAAACCCCAAGGTCCCTGAGTCCCCAGAGCACACCTGCCTACCCAACACCCCCAGCCTCTCCCTGTCCCTTCTGTCCCAGTCTCCCCACACCCCCCTGCCCCCTACCCCACTCCAGTCAGCCTGCCCCCTAAGCTGGCCGTACCTCTCCGTGGTGGGACAGACCAGCCTCCTGCTGGAGTCTCGGTGGCTGAGCGCCTCTCACGCTTCCTATTTATGCTGCCGTTGTTGGAAAACAGAAGCAGAAAGAGGAAGCGGTGCCCAGGCCCTGTTTCTGAGCCAGCGGCTTTTCTCAGGATTGCCTGCTTCTTAGAACTGCGGACTCCGGGACGTCAATTCTCATTCTAAGTCTTAACTGATTTTGCAAACATTCCTTCTGCTAATGTCCACTTTGTCTCCCCAGGAACTCCTACACATCCTCCTCTGACCGTCAGCTCAGTGCCAAGTTCCTCCACACAGCCTCTCCCGAGGCCCCAGGGGGGTGCAGAGGAAGCAGGGGGGTGCAGGGGGAGGTGGCTGCAATGCCCAGAGCGGGGAAGAGCCCAGAGTCGAGTGGACCCACGTCCACTACTGCTCAGAGTGTGACCTTGTTCCAATTCCCCGCGTGTGACTTTGCCAAGGTTTAGGACCCCCATCTGCTACTTACAAGCACCCAAAACACCAAAAGGCCACTGAGAGGACCCAGTTTGATGCCGCAGGGCCAGACCTGGGCTCGGACCTAACCACAGTGACCCCCAGGGGCGAGTAGGTATTAATTTGATCCCCCCAGTGTCCTTCCATCTTGCACCTCCCCGCGCTGTCCCCCTGTCCTCCGTGTTCCAGCCTGTCTTTCCCCACCCTGTCGATGGGCGGCTCGCACTGCTCTCCCCAGCACCCAGCACACAGCCCAGCAGAGGAGGCCCTTAGTGCCTGTGGGTGAACGAGGGACTCCTGAGCACAGAAGGGCTGGGGTGAAGGCAAGCTGAGTGGACGCCTCCCGGGGAAGAGGGTGCAGTGGCAGGGACAGGGACAAGAGGGTCCGAGAACCTGTAGCAAAGCCATTGAACTTGTGGCCTTCCTCCCGCCAGGAAGAGTGAGCCTGGGCAGAAGCAGCTTGGCCCGTCCCAGGGGGAGAAGGTCCAGGCTGCAGGCCCGAGTGCTCTGGGCCGTTTGCTGGTGTGAGATCCCTCCTGGTGTGGAGTGGTCATGCAGGGGTCTGTCCAGGGCTGGAGAGGAGTGAGTGCAAAATAATGGCCAGGGCCTGTCTTCTCTCCTGGCTGCTCCCAGCGGCCAGTCCTGAAGGGCAACACTCAGGCCTGGTCAGCAGGAGACCAGTTAGAGGGAGAGGGGCCCTTCTGAAGGTCAAGGTGGGTGTTTGGCTTGGCACATCACTGGCTCAAAGCATCGGGGCCTGGAAAACCAACAGGGATGCTGGGCTCTCCAGGTCTCCAGGGATTGCTGACGGGGAGCTCGGGAAGCTCCTTCTCATTGCCCTGGGGGAAGTTCTAACCCCCACCAAGAGAGGGCGGAAACCCACACTATGAGATGTCCCTCCATCCGGCTCCCAATTCAGTACTTGTGTGTCATAGGCAGGTACGACCACAGGCGATTCCAAGGCTGCCGTCCACACGGGACTGGTGCACGGAGTTCAGGGCCGCCTCCGCGGGCCTGGCAGCCAAGGACTCAGGCCCTGGCCAGTGACGCTCTCACCTGTTCTCATGCCAAGACCTCTGTTTTCTTAGGAGCCTTTAAGGAGGCCTCCTTATTGGAGGCGGCACAGGGACAAAGGGAAAAACACCTGTTTTCCCCACTGGCTCAGCATCCAGTCCTTTCCGCTCCCAGCCCTTCCCTACCCCAGGAAGTCTTTGTTCTCCTTCCCCGCAACAGAGAGAGGGTCTGTCTCACCCTGCCCAGGGGCACTTCTTTTACGGGGGGAAACAGGGAAAAGGAGGATTGGGTGCTTTTTTGGGTTTTACACTCTTGCTTCTACCATCAGTAGTAAGCGATTAGGGCTTAACTCTTTCTTTCGGGTTGGGGAGGGTACTTTCCGTGGCGCCTCCCACACCTGGCAGCTGGGCTCCCTCTCCCAGCCCGGTGAGCTCACGGCCCTTCCGCAGCTGGGCAGAGGTGCATCTCGGCTTCCGGGCTCCCCCTGCGACAAGGACTCGTGCGTGGGGTGAGGTGGCTTGAAAATAGAAGAGCAGAATTTAACATGGTTTGACTCTGAAATAGAAAATTGCCAGTGCTATAAAAATAAGCCAACTAGCAACAGCAATAAGAAGCCAAGCACAAGTGAGTGGAGAAAAGCTCAGTCACGCTGTTGAGGTGCCTTTGATGTGGGTGTGCAGTGCCACAGGGGATACGGGGCTGTGGTTGGTCACTCCAGGTGGCTCTGACGGGGGCGTGGGTGGGTTCGGTCTGGTTCACAGGCTTGCCGTCCTCAGCACCACGATGCCTGGCTCCTCTCTGCCTGGGACTTAGGAGGTTTTGCTCCTGGAATTTCAAAAAAATGTTCTCTACTTATATCTGCTTAAATTTTTTTTCAAATGTCCATACTTTAAAGTGTAGGAATCTTAAGTGGACAGTGGGGTGAATATTTATAAACCTGTACACTCACGGGGCCACCGCTGGATGGAATACAGAACATCCTGGACTCCCGAAGCCCTTCTTTGCTGGGGCATTAAACATGCTCACACTGTCCTACGACCGTCACCACTGTCCGCGTTCATAACACCTTCGTCACCTCCAGCTGAAGCTCTGACCCCACCAAACACTAACCCCAGGGCATCCCCCTGCCCCTCACCCCCATTCTACTTTCTGTCTCCATCACTGATTGCTCTGGGTACCTCAGATAAGTGGAACTATACAATATTGGTCCTTTTGTTTCTGGTTAATTTTACTTATTACAGTGTGTTCATGACTCGTTCACGTTGCAGAGTGTTTCAGAATGAAGGCCGAATAATATTTCACTACACATGTTTGTTGGTCTGTTCATCCATAACTAGACATGTGGGTCGTTTCTATCTCTGCGCTACCATGAGTGACACTGCTTGGAGCGCCAGGGCACGCAGGTCTGCTCGAGTCCCTGCTCTCGATCCCTTGGGTGTGCACTGGGGCAGAACCGCTGGTCATGCGGTGCTTATGTTAAATTACCGGGGAACTGCCATACTGAATTGTGCCTGTCTTTGAACTTCACTGTTTGGAATCATTTTACGCTTGCTTGCATCTCAAATGCTTCAATTAAACAAAGTGACAGGCGGTGGCTTTCTGATGCCAGCATTGTCCCCAAGCCTGCTCTGTTCTGCTTATTCATCCCAACTCGATGATGGCTCCGATGGCCCCATACCCGGCTCTGAGCTGATTGGCCAAGATCACCCCCCCGAGGTGCTGTTAGAAACGCAGGTTTCAGACTTCCAGGTTAAACAAGAGAGTGAAGCAAAATCACAAATTGTATCTCTCAGGTGCCGATTAAAATGATGAAAAAAATCAGTTAAGAAATTCAGGCCAACATGTACCTGGAGCACTGAGTCGAGGGCAGGGAAGTGACTTGCTGCCTGCCAGTGTTGTGACAGGGGAGCAGGGAAGTCAATGCGGGTGTCCCTCTGTCCCTCCAGTCGGGGCAAAACTTGGGAAGAGGGCGAGCCAGGGGACCCTGGCAGAAATGACCATCGAAGTGGAGAAGGGCCGTTTAGGGGCAAAAGGACACCCTGCTAAAGTCTGGGGGCCTCAAGCCCCCTGCACACCACCGGTGTGGAATCGAAGAAGGTTAGGCCAGCTCAGAGTCACACGCCCCACAGCGACTTCCCACAGGGGGCCCAGGGCTGGGAGACGGTGGAAGACCTGTCACTTCAGTAGGCGAGCGACCTGAGTACTCCGGCGTCCCCCGGATCCTGGATGAGCCCAGTCTTCAGATGCATTGCTGAACTCCTGGGAGGTGAAGCTACTCCCTAAGGCAACCCCACTTTTCAAACAAAAACTGAAACCAAAAACTAAAAATCAACAAGAATTGTGAGGTGAAACCTGAGCAGTAAACAAACAGGAGCCCAAGTGTCCATCAGCAGATGAGTGGATAAAACAACTATGGGACATTTACATTGTGGAATTCTACTCAGCTGGGAAAAAGAAGAAAATTTTACCCTTTGCAACAGCGTGGATGGACCTGGAGAGCATTGTGCTGAGTGAAATGAGCCAGTCAGAGAAAGACAGATACCATCTGATCTCCCTCACTGTGGAATCTAGTGAACAAACTGAACAAACAAGGAAGCAGAGACAGACTCACAGATGGAGGGCAGGCTGGGAGCTGTTGTGGGGGGAGGGTTAGGGGATGGATGGACTGAGCAAAAAGGAAAAAGGACTCAGGACATGGACAACAGGGTGGCGATTGTAGGGGTGGGGAGAGGGAAGTACAAGGGGACTAAATGTGATGGGAGGAATACAATGAAAAAGTAAAACGAAATAAAAACAAACAGGAAATGTGGTCTCGAATTTGCTGTCAGTGCAAATGCTGGGTTAGCAGTTCTGACCCCCCGACATGGCAACTGGGTTCCCAAGGACAGAGGCAGATTCTCACCTGGCTCTCAGGGCCCCAGAGGGAACAGAATCAATTCCAAGGTGCTCCTGGCTCCCCGCAGAAACAAGTGCAAATCTCTCTGCAGGAAGAAGTCCTGATGTCCCATCTGTAAGCCCCAAATCACCGACCGTCAAACTCACGAGGAAACCAGCTGCCACGAAGACTGAGCAGAAGCACCTAGGAGTAGATAGGGACCCCGAGAAACCAAGGTATTGTTGACAAAGGTATTGGAAGAATAAGATACTGGCTATAAAATAAGTGTTTAAGAAAGAGACGCAATTCATGACCTCCCCGCCCTTCTTTCTTCCCTCATTTTCCTCATACAACAAGTGTGAATACGTGTGCAGGGGTGGTCCATGGTGCTTGGGAAGAAAGTTCCAGAGACCACAGTGGAGCACTGACGTCTGAGACATCGCATCTCCACTGGGCAGGGGGTGGGGGTGGGGGATGCTGACGGAGGGAAAAGCAAAGATACAGGGCTCCGGGCTCCGCCCAAGGGTGAAGCCGTCTTAGACACACTTCAACCCATTCATTTTGCTTATGCTCCCCTGTTTACTGTGTGTTCAGGAGAGTGACATAGGAGTTCAAAGCCTACCATTAAAAAGGCTAAAATAACTCTTCCAACACACATTAAAAATTCCAAGCGAGAAGAGTCCCCTGGTCAGTTCAGGTGGCCGTGTTTCTGTGTTCCCAGAGGCATACAGAACAGTGATGTGTCTTGCAGTGGGTGGCAGCTTGGAGTCTATGAAATGTGCTCGAATGTGGACAAGAACGTTCCAGGAATAACGACCACAGATTCAGCACTTGCACTACGGATGCCGGACCCCGCCCTTCACTTCCACGGTTTCTCCTGATAACCTTTAGGTTTCTA